ATATATATATATATATATATATATAAAACGAAGACATGAGACCATTTTGACCCAAAATTTGAGCTCCCTGTTAGTCCCTGTTACGGAATTCCCCCCTCACTAGCGTATTAAACTACTATGGGATCTCAGGCAAACACACGAAACAGAGCCACCGAAAACAAAACTTCTGTACCAGGAGGTCAATAATGACTTGATACACCCAGGCCCCGCCCGTACTAATGAGAGGGGTAGCTCTGCGGTTACAAAATTTCCCCTCATTACGGAATCCCAGGCAAACACAACAAACAGAGCCACCGAAAACAAAACCTCCGTACCAGGAGGTAAATAATGGCATTATACACCGCTTCCGTACCTATGAGGGGGATGGCCCTGGAGGATGCCGGGAGTTTGTCGCTGACGATCTGTGCGAACACGACGAGGGACAGCAGCATGGTGATGCCGAGGGACAGCTTCTCCCCGGAGTCCATCGGCAGGCAGAACCCCAGCACGGCCAGCAGGACCAGCACGATGCACGGCGCAACCATGTAGAAATTGTAGAACAGCGACTTCCGTTTAATCCTGCAAAGGAAGGTACTTACAATTAGAATTATATTTAAAGGGGCATTACGTAACATTTTTGCACCAATAGTGAAATATTTAATTCTAAAGAAACATTTGTGTGATTATTTCATATTTCTAACATTTGCGGTTGGTGCTAAAACAGTCAACAGTGAGTGCTCTCAGTTTGTGACAAACTACTCATAAGGAGTCATTGAGTTACCTGATGTGGTACGTCACATCCGGGTAGGGCTCCGGACAGCAGCCATAGATGATCACGTTCCGCACTGCTTGCATTTCTGGGGAGGGGGAGATGGGTGGAATCACAACAACGGTCTGATGCGATGCATATCCTCCGTGGAAAAACATAAACGCTAATTCTGTTTTGGTCAAATAAGTTTTGGTGCAATGGTAATCTATTTGATAAGTAATATGGCACTAAGACTGTGCCTATGTTAGACCTCTATAATGATTCTTTAATGATTGTTTATTCACTATCGCAATACTGGCGTTACCAAATGTTGAACGCATCTTTCTATTAGTGTGTGCACCGATATATAATGCCCTAACAGGGAACCGCTGTGAGATACCCACCGATCATCTGCCATTCCTCGCTTTCGATGAGATTGTTCAGATCTCCTACCCCTGTTCTGTTGTAGAGGTCAATGGCAAAACCATCGTAGGTCCATGAACCAAAAGTCAGGAGACATTCCTGAAGACAAATGTGCAGATATTTCATAAAAGGTTTGGAGAAATTAACATATGCTAGTCTGTAACTCATTGTCAAGAAACCAATATTAGAGAACATCCAACCTTTGACCCAGTGTTGATGTCACACTTCAAAGAAGCCACGTGACAAGCCTCACTGAGTCAGTCTACTGAGGAAGACCAGAGTGACTGGTCGAAAGCTCTAGGTGAGAGAACATTATTGTGTTGGATGTAAAGTTTTAACTTTAAACAACATACAACAAAGTCTACTGTGAATGAGACCACTACCAGAAAAATTCCGTATAGTTGCAAGGTTCAAAAGTACAAACTTGTTTGTCGTATGGAAAGTACGTGATGTCGACTACACAGGAGCTCTGAATTGTGGTAGGGTAGTTCCAGTTGACACTCCCATCGCTGTAGATCACTGCGTTTGTGTCCGGGGTGTCAGCATACCCCTCCTCGAACCGCCTATATGTGGGCAAAAACTGGTTTGTCATTTTTTCCCGACATTCAACGCTTTACCCAGCAGTCCTTGCGATGGCGCATGGGTACTTGAAAATACCCCCCTCCCCACTAAAACGGTAAAAGAATTGAGTCCATTGCTATGCATAAAACTACTGTGAAAAGCAACAGATATACAAGGGAGCGTTCTAAAGAAGTGCGGATAAATACATGGATAATATATCTTGAAGTTACCAAATTCGAGCTGATTTTACCTGTTGTAAAGTACAATATCTGGTCTCCATATTTGGTTACTGGGAATACGGATGGCTGCTAGTCCATTGTACTCAGACGCGTTCCACGTCAAATACTCATCCTTCCAGTACTGTAAAAAAAAAAAATTTTTTTTGCCAACATGTTCGGTAGCTACAGGGAAGCTAATATATCACAAGAATATCTTGTGATTGATATATAAACTACATTGTATCAGATATAACCTGGAAAGCGTTTAACTTATTAATACATCACACCATGCAAGCCTAATGACTAAATCCTAGCAATTGATATGATGATGGCAATCTTCATGATCTATTATTATGGTTATAGTTAAGTGTCATATTCCATGGCGGATTCACCGTTTCTATGTGTACTTGAGATACTGTCAGCAAATACATTTTAAAAAGAGATCGTATAAAAAAAATTGGATTTGGATAAGTATAATGTTATTCTGATGAGGTAGCTAAACATAAAAGGGATTTCTTACGTGTCTGAGCCATATATTTGTCTTCAGCTCTTGTCGCTTGGCATCCTATAGTCATCAGAAAAGGCCATGAAACATATCAAGTTAGCGTGCAACTGCAGGTAAAGCTAGTACCACTAACAATCTTAACTTACAATCTCAATGTTGGCAGAAAAACTATTGCTTTGACATTGTGACGTAGAAGATTTGGCACCGTTAACATTGGTTCCAACATGTGTAGTCACTGCCTATTTCCAAAAGGTTTTAAAAGTGAAAAATATCATATGTAAACTTTGACAAGAGAAATTTGTCTAAAGTCTTGAAGCCACTCTGTGACAGTGACAGTGGAGTGGAAAAAGAAGTGGAAGCTTGCTGTCCGATGTGCCATCGGGCACAGGAGGAACTAAGGTAAGGTAAGGTAAGGTAAGGAGTGGTTGAGTGGGGGCAGCATTTGTGAAGTCACCAATGAGTTAACACTGTTGTCCTCATTACCAAAACACAGTAATTCACATTATCTCACGGTTGCAATATTTCACGGTCTGAGGAAAATGGACATGTTCATAGAACTTAAGCCAAGTGTAAGAAAAGGATGAAAGGCAAATGATCATTACTAACAGTAATGATAAGTTCACAGTTACTTAGAGAAGTGAACATGAATACAGTGAACATAAAAGTACCGTGAAAAAAATCAGGAACCACAGTAGCCGGACCGACATTTGAAACGTGCCCGTCTACTATACACAGCCAAGAACCGCGTAGAGCCTGGCTACAGGCATAGCGGTAGCCAAACAAACGTTCTGGTTTTCTAACTTTGGGAATCCAGCTTCTCATGGCTACCAACAAAAGAAGCTGACCCCTTCGCAACGGTTATATAGTCACAGAATAAAGAAGCTATTAAAACAGATTTTATGCATTGAAGTAGGTTAAAACCATCATATTCATCATATTCTCGATTGCTGTAAGAAATGTGACTTTTATTTTTTTAATCTTTTTTCCTTATCTTTTTTTACGAATATGGACAATAGCTTGTCTGTCAAGAAACGGTACACCCGGTGCTTTTGTCATGTAGCCTTCCCTGTGTGGTAAAGTAAACTGTGATTGCTGTTTAGAATATCATTGGCGAACACGTCGCACAATGAAAGACGCCTCATGGCAATGTTGTGAAAGACAACACTTGAGGTCTGTACTCTTCATTCTTAGAAGCTCAAACATTTCAACAAAAATACGTCGTACATTCTGTATATTTCGTCTCCAAGGCATTGTTATTTTAACATTTCAATACTCAATAAAACTGAACTGACAAAGCAGCTTTCTGACAAAATGTTACTGGCTGGTAGTGTTTTAATCAAAAGACTGGTCATATGGCATTCAGATAAAGTATGTCATGTACGTTTTGCTGAGATTTCATGCTTTATTTCAAAAATATCTGTGGGGAAGCCATCACTATAACTCTGTGCCATTTCTTTATAAATATTAGATCCCCCGTCAACTTAGATGTATATAGATATAGCTATAGCATTGTGAATAACTGAACTCATGATATAGTATATATACATTACTTACCAAGTCAATTAATTGTGAGAGTGCGAGATCGATGGTCACTCTGACGGCGTTAGTTGAGTCCAGTACGGGCCTTGACTCTGGGGTGTAATCTTGTAACAGTGTCTTAATCAATGAAGCTTCGTTCAGATTCTGCTGCTGACAGAATACTGGAAAGGCAAAAAAAAAGGGATTTGTCATTGTATTGAAATGAGCATACGGTTTGGGATTCAAGTTTAAGACTATTTATTATATATTGTGTACGTAGGGTTTGTTCCAGTGTGTATATGCTTGTGTTCATGTAGTTATTCCCACATGCTAGGCACGCCGTGGACTGACAGGAAGTTAGGTCAAGGGTCCAAGAAAAAGTTATCTGCTATTTCCTGTCTTCAATGCTATATATATATTATGCCTTATACGAGTATTAGCCTGGACACCAGACCCATTTTAGCTTTAGTCTTTATCCTCTCCGAAGGCATATAGGATAAAGACCCGGGAGCTAAAATAGGTCTGGTAACCAGGCTAGCTTTATATATATGGGAACTAATTAGGAGCTGGTGACTTGTAGTGTCCACAAAGCACCCCCCCCCCAAGGCATCCTCCTTCACAGATTCGCACCTGTGTGAGTTAGACTTTTCAACCATGTCGATATCACTTACCACTTGACATGCTATATATATTTACTTTACTTTAGTGTGATGGTTGGTTAGGCTACTAGGCTAAGTTGTGATTGCCATGCTTCGTAACGTATCCAGTTCCGGACCCCATGGTGGTATGTCAATCAACAAACCTTTACAGAACCTATCAACAAGGTTATGTATAGTTGTCGTTCTCTTAACCTAGTTGTGCCCAGAAAAATTAGCTTGCTGTATCATTGAATAGACCCGGCCTTACGTTGTAGACCCCACTGGAAGCTGTGTAACTGTGTACGCGCAGGTATTGACGGCCACCCGTCGAATGTCGAGAGCAGTTCATATTTAAAAAGAAGCTGTGTTGGCACTACAAAAACACTCACTGTTCAAGGGCTTTCATGTCGCTCTAAAGACGCTTTGTAGGGTCTGTAAGCACGTACGCTTTACTGTGATGATTTAAATCATACAAGATGCAAAAAGTGCTAAGAGCACTAACCTACAAAAAATATACGCACTGTTAAAGTGATTTAATATGTCGCACTAAAGTCTCCTTTTTGGGTCTGTGAGCACGTTTACCATGATTCTTTAAGCTACGAAAGATGCAAAATCTATCAAAAGCAATGACCTACAGCTAACAAACCGTTTACCTATAGCTCCCGCTTTAGTCGACTTTTCCAAACTACACGTCACAAAGTTCCTCACTAGAAAGTTTGAAACAACGCTTACAGTTAGATGCGCAAAGGTAAGATTAATAAAAAGCTGTGCGCAAACGGGGTCTACAACGGAGGCACTTCTATATTCATAAAAGGCAAAAAAGCAAAACAACAGGGTCTTCCTTTTTTACCTTTAATCATCTGAATCTGTAAACCAAGAACAAGGAGTTCTAAGCTGCTGGCCCAGAATAATCACCCTTCGACGTAACAAACCAGCTTCGCAGGCATGCGGCGCGGCGGCAGCAGGGTATATTGCACCAAACGACATGCTGCACCCAACATTTGCGTTCTTTGTCTTGAACGAAGCTGTCTAGTGAGGAACTTTGAGAGTAAATCATATGTTAGCTGTAGGTCATTGCTTTTGATAGACTTAGCATCTTTCACAGCTCAAATCATCACGGTAAAACGTGCTCAAAGACCCAATAATGCTTCTTTAGTGCGACATAACCACTTGAACAGTGCGTGCGTTTCTTGTAGTTCCACTAAAGGTTCTTAGACACCGAAAAATGGGCCCATTCGGTAGCGTAACTAGAGCATTCACGTAAAGAGGATTAAGTCGCTGGAGGCGCTGGCTTCACTGAACGTATCACAAACAGTTCTCCATGAAACGATATCATACATTCTACTCATACAGAACAGTTTGCCTAGTTTGCATGCCTAGAACATAGGAAGCCTTTAAAGACTTCCTATGTTCTAGGCATGCAAACTAGTCAAAGTAGTCAAACTGTTCTGTATGAGTAGAATGTATGATATCGTATCATGGAGAACTGTTTGTGATACGATACCTTCACAGACTTCCTATGTTCTAGGCATGCAAAGTAGTCAAACTATACAAACTGTCATGTATACAATTAATAATTTACTATCTTTATCAACTTGGAGTTTCAAGATGGTCAATCTTTTGCCATTCTTCATAGCTAAGATATCTTTATCAATGTAACATCCTTTGTGTAGTTTAAACGTTTTAAAGCATCAAGTACACTGTTACATAATTCTTTACATCAGAAATTAGCACATCAGAATTCTTTACATCAGAATTTAACTGAATTAGGCACATTGAGAATACTTTCAATGTAAGACCTTAAACGTATTATGACTAGAACTATGCATATACATGTAGATGCATTCACAACTACCACCATATGCTCCCCATATGCATTTGGCGTACAGTAAACGTAAGAATTATGGAATACTACAAACATGCTATTTGCATTGCAAATATTTTGAAAAATTCTCAGATCTTACAATCATAAATTTGTTTTATTAAACGTCTGTAAACAAGCTCTGTGCCATTGAAAGAAATGTTTGCAACGCTAGATTAATCTTTTTCTGACAGTTGTAAAGGCAGGTGATATGTAATTTACATTAACACTGTGCATTGATAATATTTTGAATATTCTCAGATCTTAGAATCACAAATTTGCTTTTTCAACTTTTATGTCCCATGGGCATGAACATTATAGAAAGATATATAAGAAAGATAAATAAAGATTTATTTATAAACAGGCTCTCTGCCATTGAAAGAAATGTTTGCAACGCTAGATTAAACTTTTTTTCTGACAGTTGTAAGAGCAGATAATATATACTGTACATTAACACTGTGCATTGATAATATTTTGAAAATTCTTAGAATCGCAAATTTGCTTTTTCAACTTTTATGTCCCTTGGGCATGAACATGCAATTAAAGATTTATTTATAAACAGGCTCTCTGCCATTGAAAGAAATGTTTGCAACGCTAGATTAATCTTTTTCTGACAGTTGTAAGGGCGGGTGATATATACTTTACATTAAGGCCCACCACACCCCACAGGTGACATTCTTCTGTCAACCCGGGGCTTTTTACCGTTTGCAGACGGCGTGAGAGCGTGGTGGGTCGGCAGCATACACCGCATGTTTGAACCTACTCCTAAGTCTTAACGGACAAGCTGTCTTTTGTCCCTGTAATCGCAACCATCTCAATGATGTATAAAAAACCGACATAACACGCGAGCTCTATATTATCTCTTTTCTTCCTTCCCCTTTTTAAAATTGTGATGACATGTCTAGTTTTATCTGTAACTATGCTTTCAGCGTACTTTTAGAAAGCCTATCTCGTCTTGGGAATCGAACACCTAACGCAAGGTTCTGCACACATTGTGCTGTTGTCTTTGCATTGTAAAGAGGATAGTTGTTCCGTGCAAAATTCCCGTTTAAAGAGGCGTTTAGTCGTCAAACAGAAAGCTTCTAGGCCAAGGTAGGTTTACATCCTTGTCACCTGTGCCGGTGTAAGAGATATGATTAGATTACGCGAGGTGGTGTTTGGGGCACTGTTAATCTTGTGGTCGCTATGGTAACCGCAGGGCGTCTCCTGTTTCATAGCCACACTTCTCACTAAGGATGCATTACGACACAGATCAAAACAACGTCGTTCTTTGCACGAGTTAAACGACATTTGAGCTGTATAATCTTTCTGTAGATTTTGTGACATGGTTAGAGAACCCCAAATACAAACGAATGGAAACCATTTTTCTCAGTTAAGAACAGCGCATAGTTACAAAAGAATTTTAAACTTTTGTGACATTTAGACCCATTTATTTGAAATAAAAATATTGGATAAAACAAAAACGCCACATATCGTGGACTAACAGTTGTAAGTACCGCCCTAAATTGTGAACATGAAATAAAATCTTAGTGGAAAAGAACTTGGTTATACTTTTGCTAATATATTTATTCTTTCGAATAAGTTACTGGCCATTTCTTGGGAAAGGCGAATAGAAGACTCTTCTTCTGGCAATTACATAACAACAAGGTATAAGTAAAATTTGAGGTATTGACATAGCTGTACAATGTTTAAATACTGTATTTGGAACCCTTCTAATTGCAACAATGTGTTACCAATAACGAGTTTTGAAAACAACGACTATTGTGAGGAGTGCTTGCAAAACAGCTGCGAACACAAACCCAAAACACGGAAAACATACCGCAGCCATGTAGCGTTACGTTAATTCTGTATTTAGAGATTTTAGACATAGAAATGTCTCGTTTTAGCGGTATTTGGTCAATCGGATACGATCTTCACGTTTTGTGAACCTCAAAAACATGGCGTAACGTTTTAAACGTTACGGTCGATTTCGGTCGTTACGTAAACCTAATTACCAAGCAACATGTCATGGGAGACCACATTTTGTTGGCACATTAAAATATCATTCCAAAGGTCTCCGAAGCATATTCAATATACCTCATGTAAATGTTTCCGTCTATAGTTTACTAATGGTAATAAAACTTTGTGTTATTATAAATTGTACTGTACAAAAAATTTAAAAACGTGTTCGTCGATGTAACATCATAGGACTATTACGCTAGAAGAAAAGAATGTAAATCTACATATTTAATAACTCCCAAGGGAACAATTACACAAAAAAACAACAACATTCCCTTAGCGACTTCAAACGTTGCTTAAAGTAAATATATAGTGTATAGCGTCATTACACGGGACCTCAAGAGCTGTGCTGTTGTCTGGCAGTCCATTTGCAAATGGTAGTTTGTCTTCAAGCATGAAAAATCACAGACCGTGGCAGCTTTGCTTTCACATTTTCTCACGGAAACCAAGACACACCAAGACGTACAGCAAGACATTTCAAGACAACCAGCAACCTACAAGACAACAATCCTTGACAAGATCCAAGTTTTAGAATCTATGACCTGTTTTACGCAGGGAAATAAGCGCTCTCTTCCTGTTGCGATACCGGTTTAGCGTGACTACCTTCTTTAACACGGTCTTCGCAACCGCACACCTTTGACAAGAAGCCAAACTACTTTCTTACCGGTTGTTAGAAGGCAACTCGCGGCGATTACGATACTCCAACCCCTTCGCGACATCTTAAACGTTCCCTGGTGGGTGATCTTTCACACAGTTATGTAGCTAGCGTACGGGGTCCGTTTTAAGCATTGAGGATCCGGTGTTCGGTCAACTGTGTCGAGTGGTGAGCCTTTTCATTCCTATTCAGCGTTGAGGACTCAGGTTGGGTGTATTGTTTGGTTAGTGTTTGTGGTACAAGGCCTCCGGTTGGTCGGTGGGATAATAGGGTCAAATAAGCCCGAACGACCACGTGCCCCCCAAGGGCGTAACCAATTCAACTGGTGGTTGTTCTTTTTGTGCCTTAAACAATTGACTATTACTGGAACTAACTTTAGAAACACAAGACTACATCACACGGTAGTATGAGTCCATTGTTGACCATATGATTAACCCTATTTTAGCACATAACTAATAGTATACATATGGGGTATTCGGCCTTAAGCATAGTATAACTGGTGAACTAATAAAAATCCTGTGTTTGAAAAGCTCGTCTGAGAGATGACCAAATTGTAGAGAGAAAAATACAATCTCCTTTTTGGTAAATTCGGTACTAACTACATGCACAACAATGTTTTAGCGATTAGACAGCAAAGTTGTATTCTTAAATACTAGTAACCTTGGGTTGGAATGAGTTATTGTTCCGAATTGTACATTGCTCAATATTTAACATTTTGACTAAACTTGAGGAAGACTAATGCCCCATTCCCACTAGGATAAAATTGTCCGAATAGAGAACCGAATGGCACTGATTCGCTTTGAACCGGCTTCGATCCGGATCGAAGACGGATCAAACCGAATCAATTCGGCTCGATCCGGACACATTTATTGTAGTAGGAAATGGGCCTAAAAGTACAAGAAGACAACGGTCCAAAAATGACACCTGATGGAATCTAAACAGACAACTGTGTTCCAGACGCTGGGAACAAAATCTGTTTAAGAACCACGTTCCGTGAAATGCGTTCTTTGTCACCATAGAGACCGCCCATTCATGTTAACACACTATAACATCCCTCACGGTCTCTACAGCTTTAGCTATGCACCCTTCCCTCTGGCGATATCTCTATTTGGTTTCCATCTTTTATTTATCATTAGTTCCTCTAAGGTACCATCAGTGAAAGGTCAACATACCTATGTCATAACGAAAACTTCTGTAATCCATGTAAAAAATGCAATAGCCATGCATTTCCTTATCAGAATGCGAGGAAAGAAATGCAGGAAGCTAGGCCACTGTGAATTACGTAGCTGCTTTTTAAAAACCATTCTTTGGAAGAGACCAAACCCAAACTTGAGCCAAAGAATTCGAAAGCATTATAGAATTGTGGCAAGAAGCGGTGCTTGACAGAAAGGTATTACTTACCACGCTTTGATACTTATAGAGAAAGATGAGATTAAAAGTATTATCTAGTCTACCGAGCCTGAAATCAGCGTCTTACCAGGACAGATTTGAGGCGTGTCGACATTTAGTTGCTCTATATTTCTTCTGGATAGAAATTTTTCTATAAGATATTGCCAACGATAACCGTTACGATAAGATTTAAACATACTAGTTTAAGTGAGTGCATTTATTCACAAATCTCAAATCATTGTAAACTGTTGTAAAATGTAAGCATAGTGCTAAAGTGACTGATTTGGACTGAATCCATGTTGCAGAATGCATGGATATGTACGTGATTCTGCAGTGGCAGTACATTGACAGAACCTTGGTTTTAAACGACACCATTTTCTAGCTAATGTATCTATGTGTACACAAAAATAAATTCCATCTGAACTAAGGTAGATTATGAAAGGTAGAATATAAAATTAACAGCATACACGCATATTTACACTACACCTGAAGGCAAAAATATATTCTACACAGATAGTACAAATATACAAACTATCATGTCAATAGGATACATTTACACTAAGTCATATGTTCCACAAAATGTTCCACAAAATATAATAAAAAGGCCATAATAAAAAGGTGATTTAAAAAAAAAATTAAGTCCATGTAGTTCCTAGCTGGCTGTTAAGTATGCAATAAAATCTTCAAAAATATATTTCTGTTCAAACCCACTGCATAGTATTTATGTTCTACATAGTTTAATTATTATATTAATTACCTTTAAACATGTAACAAGTATGGAAACACGAAATTTAAACTGTCAAAATAATAAGTTATCTTGCACTTTATGAACAGTGTAATCATCCTCTTGATCCTTAATTTGATTTAATTTCATCACTACAGGATTCAGTTATATTTATAATGCATAATATATTTCTTTAATATCATGACTCTTTTTGTGCTGTTATGACTCCATCTTGCATAGATCTCAAACTTGTAAACAGAAACAGCAAAATAAACGTTTTCTGCTGAAAACCTCAGCACTCACAAAGCTGAAGCTAAAACACAACCAAAGTAACCCGATTTTATAACGTCCAGTGCAACATGAACTGTTTCATAGACAATTAGATTACCTAAAAATCTCAAGACCTGTATTCATTTTTGGTACTGTGTAAATAATCAAAAATTATGCAGCAGTTGGTCATCATTAGATATTGCACAATACAGCAGTGACAATACCATCATAAAAATCTCATATTATGTCAACTTTATACTTGATGAGTGTGAATTGATTTACGTCAACACAACACTATATCAACTCAGTATAAAGTACACTATTCTCATGAAAAGTTGCAATAATCAGTGTTCAAAATGCTGATAAAACTTTAAATTATTTTGTCTCTCTATAAAAAAGATATCACCCCCCTAAAAAAAATAGTATGCAAAAAAGGAATTTCAGTTGAGATGCAAGGATTGCCTTCCTCATGATATGTACAGTCATTCAAACAAGCTGGTAATGCAAATGATATATACAACATACCAACTTTAACATACTGCAATATTAGCTGGGAAACACCTGTTTTTGTACCTGAAAATTTGGGGTAGTGAGTGCAAGGGACCCTGTTACAAAATGGCTGACACCCAGGCTAACACTATCCTAATATAAACATAAAGGGTTATGGATTGAAGGATCACTATGGCCTTAGCATACCTACTAGTAGGTATTAAAAAAACGCTGCATTGACCTAGTGAGTAGCAAAATTGCCTTGCATACATGCAGAAGCTTAGTTTGTGGGTTTGATTGCAAGCAAGCTGATACAAGTTGTACCGGTATATGTACCAAAGACATTGAAATTCTCTGCTTTGCATTTGGGACTGGCTTTGAGTATACGAGCAATTGTCGTTTCGGTTAACATTAATAACTCGTACTAGGCATATGATACTGGTAGGCACACACAAATTGGTACTAGGCAAATCACCCAGCTACCATCCGATTTTAGGCCTACCACTCACTGGCTGTGATGCGGTGATTGCTTGTATAGCAGCGAAACATCATGTACACCACTACCAGTGGACTAGCCCCTCGCTGCATTCTCTATGTGTTATGCTATCCCTCTCAAACTTTTTTGATACCAATACATGCTGCCAATCATGTTGGCCTGTCATCAATGTAATTAACAACAGCCAATCAGATTGTGAGGTTGTCAAGAGCCTCAGTGAACTTTAGAACATCCGGCATGGTCTTCAGTCCCATCTTAGTGGTCAGCATGGTGTAGAAAAACTCTGGAGCCTGGGGGGACAGATAACATTGAGGTTAAAGTCTCATGTGTTAACTTTCAGTATGCTAAGGTAGTTGTTTCACCCTAAATTTGTATTGGTTATGGGGAGAAAGTTAAAACAGAATGATAGTCAATGAGCTTTAAATTCAACATCCTTTTGATTTTTAACCTCCTTGGTTCAGTTCAGTACAGTTTGACATCCTTTCAACAAGGTGACACCATGTAGTGTCTTGCCATCCCCATCTCTATGTAAAACAGATAACAAAGTTCAAGTTATAGTCTAAATAAACGTCTCTTAACCCTCAGGCTGCTAAGATAGCTGTTTGGCACCAAATCTGTACAGGTTATGGGGTTAGGCAGCAGGGAAAAAAGATACATGTACCTTCAAAGTTATAGTCTAATGCCTCAACCTTCAGCAAACTTGTATAGGGTTATAGAGTTAAGAAGCAGGGTGAAGGTTAAATGAGTTTCAATGGCGAGTTGGGCAACAGCAAATACGAACATCTTATGGGCTTTTCAGACTTGGTAATTGTCTAAACCTAGGATTTAAAGAACAAAAGAAGGCTGTATTACCCATTCTTTGAAGGGATTAAAAGTTTGTAAGCAAGGTATCTAGGTCACAGGTGACTTAAGGCCTTAGGGTCATTATTAGCAGCATCTGTCAGTGTGTTGAGAAAGAGATCACTGATTTAAAACAACCTTGGATATGAAAACCCGCTAGTAGAACCGTTTTGATGAACTACAGTAACTGAAAAGTTTTGAAGATAAATGTTAGCACTCCAACTAAAGATGTTGGTGATTCCTTTTTTTGTACAATGATTGACATGTCTTTAGTCATTGATTGACAGCTGACCCCAATCTGCACCTGTCAGGTGGAGAACCGTTCAACATCCTGGCTAGTGATTGGACAGGTGTTAATAGATTAAGCTGCTGACTGTGACTTGGGATCCAAACATCACATGCATCAAACTGTAACCTCTCTTTAAGTTAGCCTTTTCCAACTTAAGATTGATGAAGGGCAAAATGTCTTATAGTGTATGCTATTCAGCTGCAGACTGACAATATGTCATTATTAAAGCCTCAATATATATAAAAGAATATTAAGGAATAAGGTTTTTACTGTACCTCACTTCTTACACCTTGAAGTCTTCGCAGGAGTTTGCCATCATACTCTGAAAACTCACTCTTTAAGCTGAAACAACATGATCAGAAAAGGTGACACTTTTGTTACAACCATTTGATACATGTTACAATGCACTTCAGGATATTACAGCTAGATGGCCCTGCTACAAATATGTCACATTATATTTTGCTTCCTAGTCTTATCAAATGTATTTTGTGTATTATGACAGGAAGTCCCTTGTTAAAATCCTTCTTTTACCAGTTTCTGCGATACACATGCATGTGAATATGTATGGGCTATTATACATGTACAATGTAACGCTAACTTTAATGCACAACAGTTGTACAGGGTACAAACATATTACAATTAACCAAATTTACCTTCCCAAGTCATGTTTCTCCAGCCATTTTGCGACATCTTCCTGTGTCCACTTGAGGAACTCTGCCTCCCTGTCCAGCGGGTGTGAGGATGACCACATGACCGCCGGGGGAGGGGCACCTGCTCCCACCTCCACTGCCGTTTGGGCAACTACAACATCTGAACATCAAACAACAACTTCAGGGTGGGGCTATGGGGCCTTGGCTGTGCGCACAAACACTCAGGAGCCTGGAATTTCAGAGTTTCAGGCTTTGGCCTATTTTCAACCAGGTTTTACGCATTTTTTTCTTGAACTGGTACGATTTTTTTGCCAGCCAAACTTGTGGCATATTGGATATTGTCTTGCCAATTTGACACAGTCTTGTAATACTATACAAAAAGATCTGATTGGAGATTAGGAATTTCAGTTAAGGGGATGTGATGACAACATGTCATCTCAACCCCCAATCATATCATAGCACATCATGTTAGATGAATTTCAAAATTCCTTTGGCTATGGGGTCTTGGTTGAGAAAACAAGTCAGTTAGAACAAACTCTGCATACAGGATTCCTCTCAATGGGATGTACAAACTAAATATTATACCATGGCTACTAGCAGAAGCTACACTGTCCCTTTTGGCCACAACAGTATCATTCTGCACATCAATATAAAGCTATGGGGTCTTGGCTGTGCAAACCTACAATCTATAAATACATAGCATAGACGTATAAGACTACATACATTAGCCAACCACAATAAAATGTACACTAATACTCGACATCCAACATAATTTTCTTACAAAATGACAGTGGCTCAGGAAATACTTGTTTGTTAAATATAAACACGGCAAAATTAACCTTGTACATGTACCTATTATAGCATCATCAGGCATGACTTCAGTAGGCAAAATGCACTCAAAAATCCTGACTAAACCCCTGTTCTCCAGTTGGCTCTGGATTGGCAGTGGTTGCAAATTGTCTCTAATCATGCATTCTGCCTCGATAGTAATATGATTGGCAGAAGCATGTAGCCAGCTGGGATGTGCTCAAAATAGTTTTGGCTCCGAGAACAAATTAAGTTAGCAATGATTTTCATAGCTTCTGGTATGCATTGCATGTTATATTTGTGCAGATAATACGTATTTCGGAATCTTTTCCATCTGTCCTCTTGTTGTACAATTAAAAGATTAGACAATAAGGAAGAATAGACAAAAGTATGAATTGGCAAAATTGACAAGACTGTCCTTGGTACTGAATGACAATGACATTGTCCTGTTGTTGTACAATTAAAAGAATAGACAATAAGGAAGAATAGACAAAATTATGAATTGGCAAAATTGACAAGACTGTCCTTCGTACTGAATGACAATGACATTGTTCTGTTGTTGTTGTACAATTAAAAGAATAGACAATAAGGAAGAACAGACAAAATTATGAATTGGCAAAATTGACAAGACTGTCCTTGGTACTGAATGACACTCACATTGACAACACTGTCCTTGGTACTGAATGACAAACACAAAATTATATGGCAAACACAAATTCATACTGTCTGCAGTCTAGCAGTTACTGTATTGTAGTACATTGAACTCAGACACGTGTTTCCTACAAAAAAAATACATGTATACATTAAATTTTAATGAGTGTACATTTTTCTCACGTGTTTCCTATAAAAAAAAATTACACTGAATTTTGAATGTACATTTTTCTCACGTGTTTCCTACAAGAAAAATTACATTAAATTTGAATGCACTTGTAGGAAGCATGTGAGTTCAATGTACAACAGGATTGACTATTCAGTACCAAACATTGAATATTATATCTCATCACCTGTCTGTGTGTCTTCCCTCCCCCGCACCCCCAGTTCCTTGATAAGTTTGGCCATGGCTGAGTCGAAGGCTTGTGTCCCGCTGAAGTCGATGTACAGTTTGGCTCCCAGGATCATCCCTAACCAGCCATCTGGTTTATAGTGGGACTCCATCATTAAAGGCACGATGTCCTTCCGTAACTGGAACGTGTATTCAGCCTCTACAATAACAAAAAATATATATAATATATCAATGTTTAAAAATCTTACGGCAATGTTTACCCTAACCCTAACCCTCTACTGCAAGAAAAAATGAACTTTTTTTTAGATAATATAAAAATTTTGGCAACATTTAATTCTTTTTACATAACAGCAATGTACAAAATACTATGATCAATTTTGCAGTACTTTTATGTTTGCATTTACCGCGGTCACTTCTGTACCGACTGTGAACATGTAGCTACTGTAGCAAAAGTTCGCAGTCAGAGAAAAATGGACATAGTACGGCAAACATACAGTGCATTACAGTATAGTCAAAACTGCCCAAGACTACTCAGGTGACCAAAAATCTGCTCTGTGTGGACAAGTGGTCACAATTTTATAGACAGGATTCTTAATGCTTGTGACATGTGTCACTGGAAACTACATGTATCTAGTATGGGATTACCAAATAGCGGTCACATTGGCCAGGTGGTGCTTGTGTTGAGGTGGTCATTTATGAATTACACAGATTTGACTGAGCTAAAGCAATTCAATTTTTTGCTCCGATTAAAAAAAAAACAACAAATAGTCGGTGAAAGGTCCTGGGTGACGATAGCAATCTTTATTGCACATTCATGACCACAGGGCAACTAACTTGACTCCACCAACACACAAATTCTCCAGACTCATTTGTAGCAACAGTAGGCCATACCAATTCTATTTCTTGGTTCTCAGATTTTTTTCAGAGAAATATGAAGGGACAGGGCAAAAAAGATTAGAAGAAAAAAATTCTATGGCAGACTACCAACCTCATTCTAGTATCAGTATGAACAAATTTAATTGTACAGTGGATACAGCTGTTTGCTGAAAATTATTAAAATGTAAAACTAGATTTTGTTGTATGATATGATATGAATATAATAAGTGAATTGATCTAGAGCAATGAAAGAGGGAAAATTTTTACCACAATTATAAAATGTACACAGTAGACCATTTCTGATCGTACACATTGAACATCCGACATGTTCTACATGTATTTCAAACATCTCTGTCAAAATCAGCACTGGGCCAACTATTACTATGATAAATTATTATAAGAAGAATTTTCCAAAAAGTCCTAAATGGAAAATTAGTAGAGTAGCGATAATTGCAAAGTAATACTAAATGGGAACTGTATGCGGACTAATTTTTCACTTCATTTTGGGAAAAATAGGAGGGGGCGATTCTGAAAACCAACTGATTACATTGGGCCTCATCAGTCTTTGACAAACTACTTCAAAATTCTATCAGCAAGGAAAAACATGATCATAGAATCCCAGGCCTGAAATGAATATTCATGAGCTTCAAGTTCAACGTCAAATGACATGACATATATGCAGATGTGTCAAAACAAAGCTGGTGTGTTATGCCGAAGGGCATTTATATACTGGCAGTATACCGATACAGATAGTCAGCCATGGAAAAAACACTGCTTCTGTTTCTCCTTCTCCCCTATTACGTATCGGTACTGTTTGTGCCAGTAGCATCTCTGTGGTGTCCAGACAATTGTTTTATCAACCTTCTTGGTCTTCGATCCATCAGTTGTCAATGCCCAGGTAACAATGCAAAGGGTTCCCCATGCAGCTGGGTTGGGCACAGTGACATATACGAATTTCCGGTTTGTCTCGACGCTATACCGACAGACTTCGACAAGAACACACGGAAAATCGTTATCACATCCCTCCGTACCCCTACACTCCAGGAGTGGTCTTTCCCAAACATTTCGTCCACCCGAGTTATCATCCTGGAGATCACTCAGTCCAACATTTCCATGATTCAGCCAGGAGCGTTCCGAGGCCTTGTGGATGTGAATAAGGTCTACCTTCAGGACAACCGAATCACCAGTCTGGGTACTGATTTTGATATATCCATGTGTCACATTTGATTTGTCTGTTTGACTAATGTGTGTTTGTTTGTGTTTCCATAGTGATAGACATGTTGGGATGGGGGATAGGTCATTAGGGTTCTAGAAAGGTCTCAGGTAAGGTTACTGTAATTCACTTTATATTCACAATAGCAAAGTTTAACGGTCTGAGAAAAATGGAAGTTTTCACAGAACTAAATGTTCATGGTGACGGCAGGTGCAGGGAAAAGAAAGTCTGCAATGATCATGGTACAGAAGAAAAAAGTATATACTGTGAAAATATCAGGATTTACAGTACAATGTATCACATTTCTTGCCTTCAATTTCTCACATATGCATGTCTGTTGCTCTATGTGCGAGCCAGTGGGAAAATGCACCGTGAGAATCTGACAAAAATTCACAACGATGAATAAAACAAGAAATTCACAAAAGTCTAAATATTTATGAGATATTTGACCTCTCGTTGTTCTTGGATGATCACTACCAGATTCGTTTAAATTAGTTTCTCTCTACACTATGATTAGTACTACTGTTAATTCTCAAAATACTAAAAAGAATTATGACGATTGTCTTTTTTACTGATTGCTAAGACAAGCTAAGCTTAAGGACCTGACATCAAAACAGAAATAGCAGTCTGTGGTTTGATTGGTAGCAATCCTGTTAATGATTCCCAAGATCCTTAACAGGAAACAAAAGTGTTATGTGAGAAAGTTATATCACCACTGAATGATAATTTGTTCACAACACAGGCAATCTTGATTGCATGTTCATGCCCACGCATACACTATACATTGCAGGGAAATTTACCAAAATTGCCAGTGGGCGAAGTTTTCAGACTCATAAATATTACTAGCAGCTGTCACAAACTGTACCACCTACGTCACTGAGTCACCAATAGTGATACAGATACATTATGTATATTATTCAGAAAGATTGGATAAAATGATGCACAGAGAAATTTCTCGGTGGAGAATTTAAAGTGCAGAGTATGATGGCACTGCAGTTGTCGTTCTATCTGGTCTCTGCTCATCTTATCTTTCTACTGGGTGCATCTCAAATGCCTCAGTGGTGTCCAGACGGATGCTCTTATGAGATTTCTGGAGGGAAAGATAGAATCATTTCGTGTAGCTGTCTTGGCCAAGATTTCAAGGGGCTGATGTCCAGCTTGGTCAAACATGGAGGCAAGATGTCCAGTATTCCCGCATGTCGCCACGGCATACCAAAGTTTTTCCACCCTAAAGTGTGTTCAGTTTCAGTCGCGTCTCTCTGTTGGACAACACTTCAGGAAACGTTGTTGAAATTCCCGAACGTTTCGTCCCTTTTCGCCTTGTACATCACAAAGTCAAACATTTCAAGGATACAGCCGAGGGCCTTTCGAGGCATGCCTGATGT